GGCCTGTAGGGAGTATGGTGTTTTAGGACTTTTTTTGTGCAGATCTACAAACTGACCTTTAGAGGGCAATATGGGACTTTAAAATAATTATTCTGAACCTGAACATTTTAAACTTACAAAAACCACTACATGCCAACAAGAGCACGCACATACATAAAAGATTCACAAAGCCCATAATAGCTTATTTTAAAAGTGCTTATTTGCATGTTCAAAATAGAAAATACCTGTTATATTTTTCATACATTAATACCAAAATAAAACAAAAAGTAAATACCAAAACATTTCTGAGAAGCCTTTATCCTGATAGTTTTGTGATGGATGTTCTGTGCATCTTGTAAGGATTTGGCCTTGGAATATGAGATTTTTCCCTACTGCTGTATCGTAAAAACAGCAAAGCGACACTTTAAAAAGAATGCCAGTACTGAACAGAACAGAGATCTTTGCTCTAGGTCCTGCAAAACCCCAACACTCTAGGTCTTATTGGCCACTCTAAATTGCCTGTTTTAAAAAGACGACAAACATTTGTAAAGTCATTGGTCAAGTAAATTAAGTAAGTAATTTATTCTATTAAGGAGACTCTGGTACTTGAGGTATGAAGGGTATCGTTTACTCCAAATGATCTGTAATTTTTTTAATTTAACAAATCCCTGCTAAATTGATCACAATTAAATAGTACAGAAGGCTCATGAATTGGTGACTTAAGGGTAACCTAGGAAACCGTGATTAGTTTTCTCCAGGACAGGACCAGGTCTGGGCACCCCTGGTGTAGAACATGTGTGCTTCACATCTTTTCCTTGTGAAATGCATTGCTCTGGATCTCTATCTTCCCTGAATCTGTAACTTCTTATCTTAACTGAGTATATGTTTCACTGGAATCCTTAATCTCCCCAGGTGTGCTGCAGCTGATGGATTCAAAGACAACCATAAAACCTATCCTTTATTTTGACTATTTTCATTTTGGTTTACTAATTTATTTTCATCCTTTTTTAAACACCACCAAATTAGAGAAAGGGGATTGTGATCTGCAGAAATGGCCTTTACTGTACCCAGCTCATGGAGGGGTCATTGAACAACTGGGCACGTCCAACCTAGAGCAACAGCAGGCTACATAATGTGGTCTGGTTTTTATTAAGCCTCTGAGTCAAGTTTCTCATCTAGTACTCTGAGGAGAAGCATCATGGCAGGAGTTAGAGAGCTCAATTTCTTCTTTCATCACTACTCTCCTCTTTTTAAATTCTCATTTGGGATCTTGAAAAAGAAAAAGTGGTATTTACAAAGGCAAATACTTAAAGAACTTTGGGAGTTTCCAATAAACTGATATGACTGTCACTTACTAGTGGTTGTCACAACTGACGTGTGTTCAGAAGAAGAGCAGTGTCATTTTCTTGTCAGCAAGCATTTTCAGAGTGAGTCGGTGACAACAAATATGAATAGAAGACACCTCACCATCAGGCCACCTGAGGAGTTTCTACACCCTTTGTTCTGCAGGATTTAAACACTTCATGGTGCCCTTTATTAGGGTCTCTATAAATAATGACGAGAAGGCTGTGAAACTGACACATCTCACAGTGCATTTTTTGACTGTTAGACTACAGGAAAAAAACCTAGTTATAAAATGACACAAACAGAACTAAAGATGTGAACATGCCAAATTTTGGTGAGTGTTTATTAATTTACCAAGAAATCATTTTTAATTTGTCCTGTATGAATTTGTCCATATTTTGTTCCTAAAGTAACTTAAATGATAAAAACGTTATACAAAACACACTAATCTCAGTACCTAAAAAATAGGAAAATATTTATCGCCATATTTTTAACCAAATTTTATAAAGCATTATATACTGAGAGGCATTAGATACTTTATAAATGCTATTAGTTCCAATACTCATTTTTGTGTTTTTAATGTCTTTTAAGTATATTGTAACGTAATACTGTAGATAATATAACAATTAGGACATAATTTAATATAATAATTAGGACCTAGCCAGCAGCCATGTCACCTTGCAACTCCCAACTGGCTGCCCACTGAAGCTAAACAGGTGTGAGCCTGGCCAGTACCTGGATGGGAGGTCTCCAGGGAAAAACTAAGGTTGCTGCTGGACGTGGGGCCAGCAGGGGGTGCTCACTCTGTGGTCTGTGTGGGTTCTAATGCCCCATCTTATCCAGAGGACACTATACTGTAAAATCCTCTGGATGAGATGTAAAACTGAGGTCCTGACTCTCTGTGGTCATTCAAAAATCCCAGGGTCTTTCTCAAAATGAGTAGGGGTGTAACCTCAGTGTCCTGCCCAAGTTTCCCATTGGCCTTTACCAATCTTGGCCTCCTAATAATCCCCATCTATGAATTGGATTCATCACTCTGTTCACCTCCACACTGATAGCTGATGTGTGGTGAGTGTTCTGGTGCACTTTGGCTGTCATCACATCATCCAAGTGGATGCTGCACATTGGTGGTGGTGGAGGGGAGTCCCCATTACCTGTAAAGTGCTTTGAGTGAAGTGTCCAGAAAATAGCTATATAAGTGTAAGCAATTTTTTTTTATTAATCTTATAACACTGTGTCTGTTGTTGGATGGTAGCATTGTTTTATGCTTAAAATCAGTTTCTATGCTCAGTAATCTCTGTGTTCTCCTGGAGATTACATCTACTGTACTTTGCTGATATATTTGTTGGTTTGGAACCTGTAATGTGCTCATACATACAGTAAACAGTGGGACTGGATTGGAGCCCACCGACAAAACAAGATCAAAATGCTGTGTGCATGTGTGTAGGGTCTTGCGGTGAGTCACAACACTGCATAGCTGAACACAAACTTGTGTAGAACAATCATTTAATGTTAACATTTTTTGCAGAGCATGAAAGAACATGTTGTGAACTGCATTTTTGGAACATGCTTTAGTATATTTTAAAAATACCAAAAAAGAAGCAAAGTGTAAATGATTATGCAAACTTCCATGTTGAGAGCTATCTGGGATAAAAAGTAGAGAGAGACCTGTCCTGCACTTTACTACAGCAGACAGAGATCAGACTATAATCAAAGCAAAAGATTCAAGTTACACCCTCTTCTTCTGCTGTCTCTTCTTTTGTTTTCCACTGTTGTGCAGAACGTAATGTGAAGCCTGCACTGGGGTGTTATAATGTAAAATGAATGACCAGAAAATGGGTGCTGCTATGTTATAACCATTAAGTTTCTGTCTGTAATGGAAACAGACCCACAACTGCCCCTGGTGGAAGATTCACACTTTAGATTCAGATGCCAAAAAAAGAACAGGGTCTAATGTCAGCGTGGTTATGTGTAGTACGTCTTCTGGCTGCGTATTTAAGAATTCTATAATCCAATGAATAGAAGGACAGAACAACTAATTAAGGTAAAAGAAAAAGTGTATTGTAGATACATACATACTGTATACATACATAATAGTTACATATCTTTTCAGAATTTCTGAATTTGTGTGTGGAGTTAATCATGAATTTCTAAAAATAATTACAAAACCTGTACAGTATAACCCAAATAATGCACAATGAATGAGATGCTGTCTATGTACAAAGCTATTCTATAGTACCTCTTGGTTTTGCATTTTCTGTTTCTGTTCCTTCTTTGGCTACTACTGTTGTCATAACAATAACTTTCCAGGCTCCTACTGTACATAATACAACTTTGATACGATAGAGATCATTCTTATGGGAGGAGTGCACATGTACTCTTTTCATTCCAATAAATTTTTCATTTGAATCAGAATTTCAGTGGATTTTCTGAGAGATCTTTGTCCAAGCATATAAAGTATCTGTTTATCTTATCTGTTTATCTGTCATCTAGGTTTCCTGAGAACAATAGAGACAGATGTATCGAGGTACTGTATATATAAGTTCCCTTGCTACATAAGAGAAAGAGAAAAGCCATTGAACTCAATTACAGCTCCATTCCACAAGTAAGGGCTGCAAAATATTAGTGCAAACATTAGTGTTGTTTTATTGTGCCATTTCTTTCACTCTTACAAACAAGGAAAGTTACTCTTTGGAAAGACTGTCCAATACATTTGGGCGGGTTTCAGAGTTTTCTTTTCTGTCAAATGCCTTTTCAAAATTCTGCTTTAGATAGGGATCAATCCATCCATTTACTAAACCTTGTTAAGCAGAACAGGGTGGCAGGGGAGCAGGAGCCTATCCCAGTCAGCAATAGGCGCAAGGCTGGATAGATGTCCATCACAGGGCACACAGAGACATGAACACACACATGCACTCACACCATGGCCAATTTTTCCAGAAACCAATTAACCTATTGCATGTCTTTTGACCGTGGGAAAAAACAAGAGCACCTGGCAAAAGCCCATGCGAACATGAGGAGGACATACAAACTCCACACAGACAGTAACCTGGAATGACTCAGGGCAAGGCAGCAATGCTAACCACTGTACCGTCGTACCACCTTTAGATATGGATACCTAATTTGGACCAAATAGCATGCCAGTCTGTTGTGTTATATTTACGGTGTTAGTAATATGAAAAGCAGTTCTCAGTGCTGACAGATTTACAGTGGTTGTTTCACACACTTGAGAAAATTTGTATGGAGATCATCTAGACTAGTATAGGGCTTTCTAAAAGAAACTCTGAAACTCAGGGTGAGAGCCAGTGATACGTAAGTTTACAAACTGCCACACTTATCTCTACAAATAAAAAAAAACCTTCTACTATCCAGCGAGATAATAAGGAGACGGAAAAACTAAATGAATGTAAAAGTTGTGCTTGCCAAAGAATAGGTGAGCAGAAAATATCAGTATTTAAAAGCAGGAGGCAACTGCAGAAATTAATTATAGTGCTGTAGAAATGACCTTGTGTAATTTTATTTGTTTTTGTTTGTCTTTGTTCTTGTCTTTGGACCTCTTGTCTTGTGCAGTGGAAGACAAGGTTAAGGTCAGGCCTAATGCTCAACACAATGCTTAAGTGAAATATTAAATCTCACGGTACTGAATGAGGGAAAAACACATACAATAAGTTTTATTATGAAAAATTCTTTATTGCAAATATAAAGTGCAATGAAAACACACATATTCTCAGTTTCAGATGGATAAATAATATGTCAGTAAGAAATGCATGTATTCTTAGGTTAATGCCCTCATAGTGGCTTTCTTTAATAAAAATTCATAAAATTGAATTTGCTTTGTTAAAAAAATGGAATTTTAAATAATTAAAATAAGACTTTTAAAATGTTTAAAACTCACACTGTATATTTTACAATTTAAAAGTACAATAGTTTAAGGAATTTTAAAGTGCCCAGAAAGAGGTTCATTGATGCTTCTGATTCCAGTGTGTTCATTAATTGAGATTTTTGCTTGATCTCTTCCTGCGGAAAGAGATAATACAGCACATGAATACAATGTTTTCCCATGTACAATCTTCAGTACAATTACAAGGCATTAGACACTGAGAATTTAAATATAATGTAGATGATCTTAGCGCAATTCAAGTCTTCAACAATTCCATTATGAAACAATTCCTTATATGCTTGTAAATATATATTAAACTGAACAAAAATATACATGGCATCTGTAAAAGTTATATATAACAGTACATGATCTTCGTCTATAGTCAGTTGCATACCCACCTCCTCTGGTTATTAAAACGAATATTTCCTAGATTTTTGCGAACACAGGAGAATGTTTGAACTTAAAATAAACACAACTTACGTTCTTAGCTTCTGGAGGATTTCTCTGATCTTCTTCATGTTTGGATCCAAACAATAATGAGCCCCACCATCCATGTTGACACTGAAAATGTACCAGAAGGAATCATCACTCTCTGACATGGTGAGTGGCGGAAATGCTGAGGATAATCTATAATGCTCAATTATACAAAAAGGTCTATGTCTTAACATGCATTTAATGTGCAGGATGTTAATTAAATTGCATATAATCTTTCTAAGGGATTTCCACAAATATGTTTTTATAAATAGTCATATTATAATAATATTATTGCTTCATCTGTCAGCTGCCTCCATACTCTGTACTCACATGATTTCCATGTTTTCACAGAAGTTGGAGGGAGGGAAGATTTCCACATTCTTGATTTGTCTGGGATTTCCTACAATCTTTTGTCGGGTCCTCTGACATAGGCATCGAGAGCTGTCACTGGCGATATCTGAGGACAAAAGAACAATTAGAACTATAGGGCTTTCCACAACAAACATACTGTCCATTTTTTGGGAGTTTCAAGATTGGTCAAGACAGGAAAAATGATTTATTTTTTTGTAGTAAACTGCAGACAACAGCATTATTCTCTAAATGACTAGCGCATTACATTTTAATGTTTTCCCATTATTCACACTAGTTTTATCTTGTTAGATATGTGACTGGAAACAAGGCAATTCTAATAGACACACCATCCCTGTACTCTAAATGCCAAAGCAGATATGCAGTATCAAGCTAAAAAGCAGCAAAAGAGAATTGTACTTACGTTGCGAAACAGCCACTGTGACAGCAAGAGCCACGATCAGAAGGACTTTAGTGCTCATGTTTCAGACTTGCAAAAGGGTGAAACCCACTTCCTTTAGGTGATGAGAGAAGAGAGGCTGTTGAAGCTGTGCTTCAGTTGGTTGCGATGGACACTTATATACACCCCTCAGAGGATTACCTCAGCTTCTTTCCTCTGCAGGGGAAATTTCACGTGGAAATTCAGGGCCACTGGAAATGAAACTGTGACACTTCAGGAACTTTTAGTCACTGAAATGGCCCTAGCGGGACTCTACTGCTTCTTATTTTAAGACTCAGGATTTCAAAATACACCCGATGCATTTTCTGCTTTTTATATGCTTTTCATCTATTCGGGAAACGAAACACAGTACAGCACACCTTTATTACTATACTTTAAAATCCTCTGGAAATATTTTATAACTCACTGTCTCTTCAAGATCTATACCTGTAGTCCTGTATTTCTAATGTACATAATGTACCTGCAATATCTGGGCACTCGTCTATGTTACTGTAGTTTTCATTTTTCACTTTTCCATTTCCATTTTCAATATTTTGAATTTCATTTACTGCTTTAGTATTTGATGATTTTGGACTGTAAAAATATTTGGACTGTGAAATATTGAATATCTGCTTCAATATTTGATGCAACACTCCTCTGATTTTGGCATCATCTGAAATTTTGATATATGTTTTTAATAATGATAATAATTTATAATTATGATAATTTTTTATTTATTCAGTATTTTAAGAAATTTGGAAAATTTCAAAAAGAAAAAAACAGCACAAAATACACAAAACATGTTAAATAAAACAAAAACAAAGAAAAAACTACACCTGGACAAAGAACAAATAGCTAAAACTTGCTTAGGACTTTTTACAGTTTTCTTGTTTAAAGTCGGTATAGAATCAAAATCTGCAGTAAAAGTAATCACATAATTATTGGATGTGTAAAACAATCAGGGAAAAGTACAAAGCTCAGTCTTCTTCAAAACATTAAAGAAAGCTACCCCAGATCCTATGAAATTGTATGAGGACAAATCCTCTCCTTTGTAATCGTGGAGATTATCTCATAGAGCCAGCTCTTGAAACAGGGCACAATGACAGATTTCTGTTCTTTAAGAATATTTTTTTTAGCCACATCCGTTGCGAACATCAGTGATGATTGTTCTTCCATTATAGTTTGCGAGTTGCCTCTGAACAACCCTGCTATTTCTCCATGATATAATGATCACAAACGATCCCTTAAACAGGAGTACTGCAAACTAGAGTGCAAATTGAGGTCTACTGGTCTACAAGTATTCAAGTCGGCATGGACTGATAGCCTACAACAATATACTGCAAGAAAGCCCTACCTGTATATAGAGCTCGTTAAGTTTACTACTCTGAAGTTATAGAAAGCAATAAAAATAACCCTCACTACCTATTTAAGACTATAGCTATTCTTACAAATAAGACAAATACGATTCTATAGTACCATCTAACTTTAGTAGTGATGATTTTATGAACTTCTTTAAAGATAAAATTAACACCATCAGACTTCAGACGCAATCAAATAAGCCCCAAAGAAGTCGCAAGAAATACAGAAACAATATAAGAACCTCTATGGTGTTTTTCAATTAGTTAATGAACAAGAACTCAAGAAATTAATTATTGAGACAAAGTCAACCACCTGTCCGCTAGATCCCATCCCCACTCAGCTAGTCAAAGATTCTCCTGAAGTACTGGCAGGACCTATAATTAGTATGATGAACATGTCCTTTGCATCAGGCGTTGAACAGTACCTGATCAATTTAAGGTAGCGGTTGTTAGACTGCTCCTTAAGAAGTCAAATTTGGATCCACAAGTTCTTAACAACTACAGGCCTGTCTCAAACGTCCCATATCTAGCTAAAATTCTTGAGAGAATACTTGTGGCCCAATTTCAGTCGTATCTAGAATCAAATACCCGGCATCTTGGCCAAATTTCCCCATCTGCCTTTATCAATCATGGCCTCCTAATAATCCCCCTCTATAAATTGGCTTCATTACTCTGCTCTCCTCCCCACTGATCGCTTATGCGTGGTGAGTGTTCTGGCACACTATGGCTGCCGTCGCATCATCCAGGTGGATGTGGAAGGGAGTCCCCATTACCTGTAAAGCGCTTTGAGTGGAGTGTCCAGAAAAGCGCTATATAAGTGTAAGCAATTATTATTATTATTATAAATAATATACTTGAGAAATTTCAGTCTGGTTTCCGCCCAGGCCACAACACTGAAACTGCACTAACAAGAGTCGTAAATGATATTCTGTTAGCTACTGACACGGGGAATGCAACAGTGCCTGTGCTTCTAGATCTTAGTGCTGCCTTTGACACAGTTGATCACTCTGTCTTGTTACACAGGCTTGAGTTTGAGGTTGGCTTATTTGGAACTGTCCTTAAGTGGTTTACTTCATATTTAAGTAATCGTTTTCATTATGTTGGCTGGGCACCATCTGAGTTGGATGCTGCATCACTGCCATGGATCCAGGAGGGACATCGTGGATATAGCTATCGTTTAGGAGGTCTACAGAGATCTTCATGGAGTACTGACATACAGAAGACATGATGAATGGATTAATATTCTCATTCATTTATTTATTTTTTTAATTGTATAATGTTAACATGCCCAAAGGGGTTGGGCAGCCTGTTTACCTTGGGCCCCTAGAGTTTTTTTTTCTCCTTCCTAAGGAGTTCTTTGTTCCTCTCCTCCATTGTCTTCTGGTCTTTTCTGTTCTGTATTCACAACATTTATGGTCACTTGCATTGTTAAATGCTTTGGGTTAACCCTGTTGTGAAAGGCACTATATAAAAATAAATTTAATTGAATTTTGAGATACATAGGTATATTCTTCCCAAACACTTTTGAATGCCACTGAAATAACTACCCAAAATATACATATACAGTGGTGTGAAATTTCTTATTTTTTTGCATGTTTGTCACACTGAAATGTTTCAGATCATCAAACAAATTGAAATATTAGACAAAGATAACACAAGTAAACACAAAATGCAGTTTTAAAATGAAGGTTTTTATTATTAAGGGAAAAAAAAATCCAAACCTACATGGCCCTGTGTGAAAAAGTGATTGCCCCCCCTGTTAAAACATAAATCAACTGTGGTTTATCACATCTTTGGAAAGCTGAGTTCAATTTCTCTAGCCACACCCAGGCCAGATGACTGCCACACCTGTTCTCAATCAAGAAATCACTAAAATAGGACCTGCCTGACAAAGTGAAGTAGACCAAAAGATCCTCAAAAGCTAGACATCATGCTGTGATCCAAAGAAATTCAGGAACAAATGAGAAACAGAGTAATTAAGATTTATCAGTCTGTAAAAGGTTATAAAGCCATTTCTAAAGCTTTGGGACTCCAGCGAACCACAGTGAGAGCCATTATCCACAAATGGCGAAAACATGGAACAGTGGTGAACCTTCCCAAGACTGGCCGGCCGACCAAAATTACCCAAAGAGTGCAGCGACGACTCATCCAAGAGGTCACAAAAAAACCCACAACAACATCCAAAGAACTGCAGGCTTCACTTGCCTCAGTTAAGGTCAGTGTTCATGACTCCACCATAAGAAAGAGACTGGGAAAAATGGCCTGAAATGGCAGCAGAGTTAATAATAATAATAATAATTGCTTACACTTATATAGCGCTTTTCTGGACACTCCACTCAAAGCGCTTTACAGGTAATGGGGACTCCCCTCCACCACCACCAATGTGCAGCATCCACCTGGATGATGCGACGGCAGCCATAGTGCACCAGAATGCTCAGCACACATCAGCTATCAGTGGGGAGGAGAGCAGAGTAATGTAGCCAATTCATAGAGGGGGATTATTAGGAGGCCATGATTGGTAAGGGCCAACGGGAAATTTGGCCAGGACGCCGGGGTTACACCCCTACTCTTTTCAAGAAACGCCCTGGGATTTTTAATGACCACAGAGAGTCAGGACCTCGGTTTTACGTCTCATCCGAAGGACGGCGCCTGTTTTACAGTATAGTGTCCCCATCACTATACTGGGGCATTAGGACCCACATGGACTGCAGGGTGAGCGCACCCTGCTGGCCCCACTAACACCTCTTCCAGCAGCAACCTTAGTTTTTCCCAGGAGGTCTCCCATCCAGGTACTGACCAGGCTCACACCTGCTTAGCTTCAGTGGGTTGCCAGTTGTGAGTTGCAGGGTGATATGGCTGCTGGCGAGTTCCAAGACGAAAACCACTGCTGAGCAAAAAGAACATAAAGGCTCATCTTAGTTTTGCCAGAAAACATAAGGGCATTTTTAATCAGATATCTTCATATAATATAATATTCTTAGTGCGTTTAATAAAATAGTGCTTTTTCCTGCCATTTTACTTATTTGGTGATTCAGTTTCACAAAAAAGAGAGACGTTTTAGTGTTTGCTTGTGCATCGATGTCCAACCACTATCTATTCCAGACTTATGGGAAGAGCTTGTTTGCCAATATGTCATGACCCTTGCATTTACAACCAACTAGATTTTTTTACCTTTGCTGAAGCCAATTGTTTATTAATTTAGAATCCATTTATGCACTTTGGAGGTATGAGCTCCAGGTCTGTGCTCAATGATCTATGACCCCTGGACTGAAACATATATCACATAGTGTTCTCTGTCACAAATAATACTTGAATAACCCATCTGTCCAATTTCTAATTGCTTTTTCCAATTAAGGTTTGCAGGTTTGCCAGACCCTAACTCTGCAAGCAAAAGAGTACAACCTGGACAGGACACCAGTCCATCAAAGGACAGATACACAGACAGACATGTACTCACATCGATGTAGAATATCCCAGTATGTTTTTGGGAGTGAGGGAGTAAATTTGAGGAAACCTATGTGAACACTGGGAGAACATATGAACTCCACACAGATAGCACCTCAGGCCTTGAATTAACCGAGGATCACGAGGCAGCACTGCTAATCACTGCACCACTGTGCCCCCCTACATTAATAATATAGTTACTATTTTATACACAAATAGGCATGGAATACAAAATCTTTGCTGGTGAGTGAAACCATAAATAAAACAGTATGTGAGCTCCAACAACAAATATTACATCTGTGCGAAATAAAAATATCTGTAACATATGTTATACTTTGTATACTATTTTAATTTAATAAATAATGGCTATATATATATAACTAAATTTGATTTAAAAATAAAGTGATAGATTCTGTGACATACAATTACATAACTTAATTTTTTTTTTCTGAATTAATAGCCACTGTAAATGCTTTATTTGTATGATTTTCATGAAGTATGTATCTGGTAAAAGATAACATAATATCATGCCATATATATTTTTAGCAAGCTATATTTTAATCGGATTTCTTTTTAATATTTGCTTGTATTTTTGTGGAATGTGAAATAATAGAAACAAAATGCTGAATTATGTTTTATTATTCATAGGATTCTTTGTGCGGATTGTAGTTAAAGCATTTTCATGGAATTCAATATAACACCCACAACCAGGCTCAGAGAGCCAGTATGAATAAGATTACAAAATTTAGCTTTGCCGGTCAGCTATTTCTCAGCATAAATTAACAAGCAGGGTTTAAGTAGAAGGCAAGAAGAAAAAAGAAGGGTTCAGTATATTGGCTATAATTCTGCTTCTCAGCTTTAAATTAACTTCTCTTCCTTTGCAGTTCATGACACAGCTCCTCACTTGAACATGTGTTGTACATGTAAATTGTACATATAAAGGTCCAGGATTCAATTTTGAACATGAGGTGCTATGTGTGTGGAGTTTGTATGCTCTCCTGTGATCATGAGGAATTCCTCCATGTTTCCTCCAACAGCCCAAAGACATACAGTACTGGTATTGTAATTGGCTTGACTCTGAAATTTGACTCTGGTGTGCATGAATCTATATGTGTCTGTCCAGAATGTATCCTGCCTGTTGGTTGCTGGGATGGTTTCTGACCCAACCGCGACACTAAACTGGATAAAATAGTAAGAAAATGAATGGATTAATCTCATGAAAGATGGCTGCACAAAGGTCCTGGGTAAAAAATGTTTTCTGAATTCTTTAAGAAGGCTAGAACAATAGATGACTGTTCCAGAAATGGCAAACAGTCAATAAACAAATGTGTTTCTCAACCTTTTTTATACCAGGGACCAGTTCCCCTGTGTCATTCTCATCTGAGGGCACTTAAGATTTAAAGCAAAACAATAAAGGACAAAAAGTGAATTTATCTATTATAACTGTAACACTTGGGCTCCGGCTGTAAGGTTCTGGCTGTTACTGGACAGTTACTGAAGGGCCAATTGAAAATTGTATTCTCCAAAGGAATTTTATTTATTACTTTTTCATGAAGGACTATGGTATTGCTACATGCCTTGGAGTATTAAATTAAAATGGTAATTTAGTAAAGGTTTATTTTCAATTTGTAAGATAATACACATTTATTTAGGAGTCTTTTGTAAATCTTGTCCTGTCTCAAGGTGTCTTGAAAGTATGCAGCTAGGTGGCGACTCTAGTTGGAAGGACGCATGTTGAATCTCACACAGGTGCACATAATAAAAGCATAGTGCCTGACACAGACTCTCTCCCTGCTAGCGAATTGTGTTCTGTGAGGTTGGAAATGTTGGTATATTTCTCCTGGGGCTCATATCACACATTTTCTTCTTTCTCTGAATTAAAGGGAGATATTATAGTGCTGTGTAATGGACTCTCATTGTGAGAAACTTTTAAGAACAATTTCATGTCCGCTGTTTCTTAAACCCAAAGGTATTATTATATGTGTATTATCATTGAGGATTGTATTAAAATGTAATAAAGTAAAGGAAAAATAAACATGTTTTAGTAATGTGCCAGAACTTAAATGTCAAATGTAAAATAGAATACTCTCTCAAATTATACATAAATAAATTGTTACTAATTTATATGAAATAAAAAAATACATAACTTTTGATCAGTAAAATATGTAAAGTTTCAAAATGTTATACAGAATATTTCTCAAGGCAGGAAACCAAAGGTATAATCTTTTCTAACTTCCAACATTAGTGAAGTTGTTGTTGTATTGGTAAAATAAAAATAATAAAGCTGCAAAAACAAATGACTTATTTTTTTAAAACAGAAGCTTTATTTTTAACAATTAAATAAACTCTGTTGTACATATCCTCAATTTGTAGCTAATAAATAATAACAAAATATAAAATGAAATATCATAAATTCTATCATAAATTCTATGACGTACTGTGAATCAAGTTATATACAGTACGTAGACCAATCTATACATATAAATATATTTTTAGCTATAGATCTATAAATCTATAAAGTGCAAAATTAACAACATTAAATTGAAAAAATACTTCAAACAGAGCTTTTATGACACAAAGAAACAGCTTGCAATGTGCATAGCAGAGAAAGTATGATCATTCTTCTAAAGAACATAGCGCAGTAACTATTTGCACATTTCCAATTGGTATGATGGGACTGGATCAACAGTTAAAGAGACAGTTCTGTGGAGAATTCTCTGTCACAGTGCGGAGCTTGTGAACACCTAATAGTATCCATTACTTTCCGGCTGGGCTTGCCTTCTTTCTGTGAAGAGGGAATAGAAACATTGTATGAGTTTTTCTGCATGAAAATATGAACATTCTTCCACCCACAGAGAAAGCTAAAAATAAGAACTAATGTACTGTATCTCTTGGTGATTGGCATTTTCATTCATACATCTGTGGTGGTATTTTGTTTGCTTAAACACACCATTAAGTTTGATTAACACACATAATGACTTAATGACATATTTATGAAACTATGGAATTATAACTAATAATTCCTTTTTCAAGAAGTTCAATAAAACTTGAATTTGTATTAAGTGCAAGTTTGTATCAAATATGTTTACTTACATTTGGAAGTTCATGATAAACTCTTTGATCTTCTTTGCATTGGGATCCAGACAGTACTTTACCCCATTTCTCAGGTTGACACTGAAAACAAACAAGAACAGCTCATTATGATGTGCTGACACTGGGAACAACAGAGCATAAACCACATTATTCTTATTCAGAGAAGAACCAGAAAAGATGAAGAAGATGTCTAAGGTAATAACACACATTATTGTGATTGGTAAAAACGTAACTAAAATATTTGATATTTGCTCAGATACCACAATAATTGTACTGCACTCAATGAGAAAGAGGAATTGTTTTAAAATAACTGCACAAACATATAAAAATTCTAAATTGCATCAATATAGTGGACTCACATGATCTCCGTGTGTTCACAGGAGCTGGACGGAGGGTAGATTTCCAAATTCTTGATGGATTTGGGGTGACCCACCATCTTGTCCCGGACACGATGACACAGACACCGCGAACTTCCAGCTCCAAGATCTGAAAGTGAAAAAAATGAAATTCTCAATCTACAAGTAAAAATGGTCTTGCATGTTTCACATTTTAAAGGCTGCCCTGCTGCTAAAAAAACTAGTATTTCTAAATCAGACTGAAGCAGGAGCTGCAGAATGAGGAACATACTGTACCTTGTGAAAGAGCCACAGAGACAGCAAGAGTTACAATCAGGAGGATTTTGGTGCTCATGGTTCAGACTTGCAAGAGGTGCCACCCACTTCCTTTCGTTGATTCTGGAGAGGGAACTGAAGCTGTGATGAACCTGTCTGTTATGAACTCTTATATATACCCCCCGAGGAACTACCTCAGCTCTTGCCCTCTTTAGGGAAATTCCACAGGGCAACCACTGGTAGCGGAAATGTGCTATTTGAAGAAGTTTTTTTTTCTTCTGCTGGTGTGGGTTTAGCTCCGGTCTTATGAAATATTTAGACTTTTTTTCTTTTCAGTCCACATTTTTTCTGGGTTGAGAAATAAAAAGAAGTATTAAATAATAAAACACTGCTGATGGTAATGAGAAAATTGACAATACAGTAGCAGAAATGATTGCTCCAAATTGGACATGTTCTATTACCTGGAATGACCTGGTGAAGAGACAAAACAATACCATGCTGTGGTTAATAGCTATATTTAAATCCAGTTTTCTCAGAAAATTGTTTTTTCAGAAAATCAGGAGAAAGTGTCGTGGTGTGTTTTCTAACCAAAACATTGATTCATAAAGTCACGTAGCTATAATATCTGTACTCCACAGTCTAATCAAATAATGTTTTACAGAGTTCTACAAAAGGTTATTTGTTCAGAAAAGTAAGATATTTAAAAAGGAAAAGGCTTGAGTCATCTGCTACAGTCTGTCTGAAGCAGACTGTCATATTTTGTCATTTCCATATTTTTACCTGTTGTGTGCCTTATTTTCTTTGTGCATTTGTTTCTGTGTTTTGTCTCATGACATATCACTCTGCAACTCACAAATGTCAACCCAATGAAGTTAAGCAGGTGTAAGCCTGGTTGCTGCTTGAAGAGATGTTAGTGGGGCCAGCAGGGGGTGCTCACCCTGTGGTCCATGTGGGTCCTTATGCCCCAATATAGTGACGGGGACACTATACTGCAAACAGGTGCAGTCCTTCAGATGAGATGTAAAACCGAGGTCCTGATTCTCTGTGGTCATTAAAAATCCCAGGGCGTTTCTCGAAAAGAGTAGGGGTGTAACCTGGCCAAATTTCCCATTGGCCCTTACCAATCATGGCCTCCTAATAATCCTCATCTATGAATTGGCTTCATTACACTGCTCTCCTCCCCACTAATAGCTGATGTGTGGTGGGCGTTCTGGCGCACTATGGCTGCTGTTGCATCATCCAGGTGGATGCTGCACATTGGTGGTGGTGGAGGGGAGTCCCCATTACCTGTAAAGCGCTTTGAGTGGAGTGTCCAGAAAAGCGCTATATAAGTGTAAGGAATTATTATTGTTAAAGTTTGATTAAGTATGTGACTCTGATTTACATTGCCATGCTGGTTATAACATATTGGCTCCAGCTGCTTGATTGATTTTGGATTTTGGTTTTCATACTTCACCTCAAACCTACTAAATCTTGCAGCTGTGAACACCGTCCCTTTTACAATTAACAGTGTCACTACACAAACAATCTCCAGAAATTGCTAGGCTTTTCTTCATAAATACTATATAGGTAAGCAATACAAAAAGACAGCCAAATGTTAATGTGTATAATAAAAATTACATTTTTTAAATCGAGTAATGTTATAATTGTTTGACTTGTTACAAACGGCTATACTCTAGAATTTGTCCAAAGAAGAGTTATCAGTTACATTTTGGAGAGTTTACAATAACTGATTCTTTTAAAAATGTAAACAGAGAGGACTATGGGGGACTTGACTCAAATATTTATGTCAATCCAGTGCACAGTTTCAGGATCAACAGTGAACCATTAATAAGAGGACAGAGGTGGATACTAATTGAAGTGCATCTGAGAACAGGAGTCACTACTTTACACAAAAAGTTGTAGCAGTCTGGAACAGGCTACTCAGACATATTAATGAACATCATAACTGAATGAACCAGATGGGCTGTATCTCCTCCACTTATTTTTAACCATATTTATATTCATAAGGTTTTTCATCTTCCTTTATTAGAAATTCTAAAAAGTTAATTTTTATGTGAAAACATTATTTTTTACCAGTGATATCTTAATGAAAACTTTTTATGTTGCATATTCTTATTAATATTTATAACACAGTGAAGAATACACTTTTGTTTACAGTTATTTTTAGATTTACTTAAGATTAAAGCTCACCTAATTTCAAATGGTTTTTATGGACACTAAACCTGTGGTAGATAATTCAGTCTAATCATGCACAATCAGTTCCTGTGAGAAACCTGCTACCTTAATCTTTATCTATGGCCACCCACTTCATCACCCTTTGTGGAGTGGAGTGTCTTTTGCATTCTGAAAAATATTTGGTTTCATGAAAGAAGATTAGATTATTGATTAAAAAAGGGCCCCTGCGTGATGTAACCACAGGATCTTCTGTGCATTAGAGCTAAAGAAGTCTGTATTGCAGGTAGTTTGTTGCCACTGAATGAGAGTTGAACTATTTGCTCTGTTTCAAACAATTCTAAAAGCACTTTCCAGAGGGGATTTCCTGCTGTTTTTATGTTAATCAGATACATTTTCTAATACAGCAATATGCATTGTTCTGCCACTTTTGAAAAAAAGACTTCATTTAGTTCATTTGCAGCAAAATAATAGGTGAATTGTGTCATCTATTATATACATTTACAATCACTTTACACTGGAAGTCCCCTATTTGCTTCTGTTAATCAGATGAAATTGGCAGGAAATCAAATAGCTGATGCAAAGCACCAACAGTCCTCACATTGTATGGCCATGTGAATATGGCATATTCTGCCTTGGCACCTTTTAACAGAAATACCACAGAGATTTGTCTTAACCCAGAGCTGTGTTAAATATGTCACATGTCAATTTCTTAAATTTAAACCTATGAATAACACTCACAAAAAAAACAAGGACTTTTGAAGACAAGTTTTGTGATTGCATTGAATCACAGAGGTACAAACACACAGAAATCTTTCTGTTTTTATTAAAGCTTCTGGTATCAGTGCCACAAGGCCAGAGCAGCAAGCGTTTTGCTTTTCTGTATCTCAGTTCACTTTCCACAAGAGGATGAATCTATCATCTCACCTGCTGATATGTAGGATATGAGACAATCCAAGAGGGCAGAATAAGTGTCCACTGGGAAGAGAACCAAGACCATCATGGAACAGATACCTGTAAGGGTAAGGGTTTCTGTAAAGAATGTATCAAGTGCAGACAGCAATGGAATAAAGCCAGTTACTAAACAGATGCAAGATTGTGTACAGTCTATACTCATTACAATGCCCTCTAGGGTATCAGAGATCACAAGACATAATGGCATGAGCATCTGAGCTCGTTAGAATGTCTGTTAGGAAAAAATAGGACTGAAGGTGTATCTGTTGAGAGCAGTTTCCAAACCTCTGAACTCTGAGACCTGAAGGGTAACTGCTTATTTACCTCATTATGTAAAGCCACATGGTGTGTGCAGTCATATGAATGGATGAAACAAAATTGAGATGGTTTCTGTATTTTGATACTGACAAGGAAGTTTCATTTATGAAAGGTAAAGGGAAATAATTAAATACACAAAACATCATGTGAACTTCTTCCTCCACGACATCTTTCTAAGACTTTTAATTGACCATCCATATGCTAGGCTATCAATTAATTTTGCTAGCGTTGGACGTGGAACCCACTGAAGGCTTGAGCGTGTTTGTGAGTGAATGAACCTTGTGGTACTATACTGTAGCTCATGTGGGGTATTTTGACTTTCCCCCACACACACTTTGTGCTTGGTTGCTGTTTCTGAAATTGGTGCGCACACCCCGTGTGCTGTGCTTGGAGCTGTAGCTCTCGGTCAGTGGTTAACACCTCAGTTCATCTAGCATGTTTCCACTGTAGACCTAGACACTTGAAATTATCTACGGAGGAAATTATATTCATTTTCCTTGACATTTCATTAAATTTATAAAAATAGAAGAAGTTTTGGAAGACCACATCTTAGTTTCGGCAGCTTAACATTTTCCAAACACAAGGAGCGTGGGCCTACTGTTATTATCTTTTCAGATACAATATATGTAGAAGTCAAACTGAGCATGCCTTCCGATTTCAAAGACACATTACTCTACTGCAGCCCTATACCTTTGTTGTTGGTATTTTTACGTTTGAAAGCCATTTTATTAACATAACATTAAAATGAGACAAGACTTTAAATAGTGTAAAGTGAGACAGACAATGTTAAAACCCTTAAATGTCTCTATCTAGGGGAAAAACATCATCATCTCCTGAAGGTCATAGTGTAACAGGTTACCATGACATTTTTGTAAATGATACAGGTAATCAGCCCTGGTTCTTTATGTGTAAAAGCAAGACACAACTTTGTCTTGCAGTAAACTTTCTTTTTTTGTCTGTGTTAGTGACACTGAGTTAAGGTGATTTGTTATAACAGCACCTTGGGTCTTGAATTTCAATTGAATAATTGAAAACCTTCAGTCTCAAGGACTGGAGCTCTGAAGCAGGTCAGTTAGGTCATCTTGTTTTTCCACTTTTCTACTCCAACACATACATTGTGGCATTGACTGTTTCTCTGGCTCAGTATTATGTAATGGATGGCGACAAAAGATTTCAGATCCTGTTTTGAGTTTCTAATATAGACAGCTACTAAGACTGAAACAGGATGTGCTGGAGTGTTTAACTTTACAATAAGGTTTCCCCTAAATGAACCTACTGTAGCTTAAAGTGCTAAGGAGTAAGTGGAAGTATTGGAAGTACAAGTACTGTAATTGGCTATGTAAACACAATGTCTTAAAAGTATTTCCCTTGACATATCTACTTATGACTCGGCTCCAAAGCAGTAACACATGTTGTGTGTCCCCCATGACCCTGAATAGAAAGAAGCAGATAGAAAATGGATTAATGGATAGATGGATAAATGTTGATGAATTCTTATTAGCACAAAATACAATATCTACAAAGTCTAAATAAAATGGTCACATTATTGCTATACCTTATGAAAGGGTCATTACAACATTATTACTACATTCATTATATTGCATGTATAATTATTGCTTTCTAACTTTTATGTATCATCTATAAAATGTGTTCTATTCAGGGTTATGGGGGTGCCAGAGCCTATTCTGGCAAGCAGCAGGGTACCACCTGGACATAT